GTGAGCGGGAGGCCTGGCCCGTGCGCGGGAGGTATGCCCTGCGTGTGGGAAGAATGGCCCGGGAGGTGAGCGGGAGGTATGCCCTGCGTGTGGGAGGTATGCCCTGCGTGTGGGAAGAATGGCCCTGGCCGGGAGGTGAGCGGGAAGGATGGCCCCGCGCCCGGGAGGTGAGCGGGAAGGATGACCCGCGCCCGGGAGGTGAGCGGGAAGGATGACCCGCGCCCGGGAGGTGAGCGGGAAGGATGACCCGCGCCCGGGAGGCATGCCCCCCCCCCCATACAGTAGCTTAAAGGAGAATTGTTGTCAATGGCTATGATAGAACGGAACTTCTCATTGCACAAGAAACCCTTAGCAACCTTTTGTAGGAACCCCCCCCCCCCCCCCCCCCCTAGGGTTCCATACAACCCTGGCTGAGACGCTGCCCTAGGTGGTACTTGTTTGGGATATTTTAATTTTCTATTTTGTACAATAAAAATTTTATTTTTATGAACGCGTTTGATGTCCTTATCAAAAAAAAATCCCTGTTCTATAACAAAAATGGAGTTATTTTGCCAATATTGCTGTGGCAATCTGTTCCATTTTGGCACAAGAGCTGGTTCTGTGCTTCTGAAGGCTGCTGTTAGGAAAACTTGCCAGCATGCTGGGAAATGTTCACACAAATGCTGTGTCCCCTTTTTAGATTGTACAAATCTGTTGCAACGTGTATCAGCCCTGTGAGGTGTGTGGCATCTTTTATGGGATACTGTTATGAGATGTTTAGTGGCTCACTGAGGTGCCCTCAATAATTTTTTTGGACCGCGTGTAAAATCCGGCTTTCCCTGCAGCTTCAGCAGTTTTCTATTTATACTCCTAAAGTTATTAAAATGATTTTATGAACTCGGCACAAACTCCGCCTCTTGCGTCAGAGTGCCGGGGAAATGAGCGTTTGATATTTAACGATTATCCCCGAGTCGTGTCCCTGCTTGTGCCGGGTTCCCGCTGATGACAGATGCTATAATTATTTATAAAAAATGATTTATTCACGGTCATGGCTACCTTGGCTCTCCCTGAGCATGGCCTCGCCTGCGGAGCTCGCACTCTGCATCCTCCATGTGGGGGGAGGGTGACGTGTGTGACATATGAACACAGCTGCAGGGGTATTATTTCTCTGCCACCTCCTTGCCGTCTAGGAATATATGGATATATATATCTGGTCATATGACAGAGCTGTCATGTTAACTATTTGTGGTGTCATGACCCCCCCCCCCCCCCACCTCGGCAGTGAAGGACGCCCTCTGATGGGCCCTAAGCAGCTGCTAAATTTGGGCTTTCTTAGGAAGTAGCTGCTTTATTTTAAACTCCCTCTTGCTGGGCTTCCCTATTGCCACCTCTGCTGGGAGATGGCTCTGGTCTTCACTACACACAGGCAAGAACTCGAAATCCCAAGGCTGGAATTATATCTAGGAGCTGCACACCATGCAGCTCCTATGGGGCCCCGAGTCGTCTGGCTCTAATGGGATTTATACAGCTATGGCAGTATCAGGGGTGGACTGAGAACTCATGGGGCCCTCGGGCAATAGGGAATCATGGGGGCCCCTGTGTCCTCGCCCACACTCAAACAAGCCTATGAAAGTTACTAAGGGCATCTCTTGGGGGCCCCCTACTGACCCTGGGTCTTCGGGCAGTGCCCAAATGGTCAGTCCGTCCCTGAACGGTATATAGTCTTGGCACCCTCTCTAGAACCTCCATGAAATTCTCATTCTGTATGGCTGGAGGAACTGGTGGGAGCTGGAGATTACAAGAGTGGAGGGGGCCCCTTTTAATGAATTTGCTTTGGGGGGAGTGGAGGGGGCCCCTTTTATCATGCCCATCATGCATAGCATAAAGCAGTGCCAGAGTGGTCAGTCCGCCCCTGAACGGTATATAGTCTTGGAACCCTCTCTAGAACCTCCATGAAATTCTCATTCTGTATGGCTGGAGGAACTGGAGGAACTGGTGGGGAGCTGGAGATTCCAAGAGTGGAGGGGGCCCCTTTTAATGAATTTGCTTTGGGGGGCCCGTCATGCATAAGCGTAAAGCAGTGCCCAAATGGTCAGTCCGTCCCTGAACGGTATATAGTCTTGGGACCCTCTCTAGAACCTCCATGAAATTCTCATTCTGTAGGGCTGGAGGAACTGGTGGGAGCTGGAGATTACAAGTGGAGGGGGCCGTTTTTTTAATGAATTTGCTTTGGGGGGGCCCATCATGCATAAACGTAAAGCTGAAAAGACTGATCTGTGACTGCTGGAACTCTATGGTGTTTAGTCGCTGGTAACTGTCCACCCAAAAGTGATAATTTATAGGTGGAGTCTAGTTGGTGAAATCTCTACACCCCTACTTTCTATCTTTGTTCCCAACCACCCCCAGTTTTTTTGGGAGGGGGGGGGGAGTTGGTGTTTTTTTGTTTTTTTTTTTTTTTTTTTTTTATTTTTTTCTTTTGAGGAGTTCCTGCACCCCCATTGGGGTATTAGAGCTCTTCCTGTTCTGTTTTCCATGACATACAAATTAATCAGGGATGGCGGGACCCCCCCCCCCCTAAGTATGGCTGCAGTTACTAGGGGGAAGCAGAGATGAGAATAGACCAATAAAATCCCTGAGGAAGAGGAAACCCCTCCAGCAGCCACCAAACCTCAGTTTTGGGTGGAGCAAAAAAAAAAAAACTGAAGTTGCGTGATTGACGTAACAGCAAATTACTGATGATATAAGGAACTTTCCATACTGACAACTTCCCGCTGCAAAACATTCAGAATTTGAAGTTAAACGATCCAACTCCTCGCTGCGTCTTAAAGATATAACTGCAGTTTTATCTCAATGTGCGTTGTGTTCCTCGTGATGGAAATCTGTACACCGATTGGATGTAGATGGTAGATGGATCGTGTCGTCGTTGCTGCAATTGTTTATGGGTGAAGAATACTTTTTCTGAATCTAAGGTATCTTTTGGTTTCTCTACCGAAACGCCAATCTCGGTTGGATTTGCCCATCAGTTGGGTGATCATTTCCCCTGCCTCCCCCATGCGTGCCCAGTGGTCAAATCGCCTGCTTGGCGTATAGACATGCACGTTCGGTCGCCAATCGTTTAATGAGCCAGATCCCCACGGTCACCTTTTATATCCTGAAATGATTTGTTGCATTGTATCGAGTTTCCTGCCGTTTTGAATTCTTGTAATGGTGTCTTTTGGTTGCTCTACCGACCCGCCGATCTCGGTTGGATTTGCCGATCATTGGGTGATCATTCCCCTCCCTCATGCGTGGTCAAATCGCCCGCTTGGCGTATAGACATGCACGTTCGGTCGCCAATCGTTTAATGAGCCAGATCCCCACGGTCACCTTTTATATCCTGAAATGAATTGTTGCATTGTATCGAGTTTCCTTTTAATTAGTTCTTGTAATGGTGTCTTTTGGTTGCTCTACCGACCCGCCAATCTCAATAGTATTTGCCCGTCATTGGGTGATCGTTCCCCTCCCTCCCCCATGCGTGGCAAGTGGTCAAATCGCCCGCTTGGCGTATAGACATGCACGTTCGGTCGCCAATCGTTTAATGAGCCAGATCCCCACGGTCACCTTTTTATATCCTGAAATGAATTGTTGCATTGTATCGAGTTTCCTGCTGTTTTGAATTAGTTCTTGTAATGGTGTCTTTTGGTTCTTCTACCGACCCACCGATCTCGGTTGGATTTGCCCATCATTGGGTGATTTTATTTATTTTGGGTACTTATATAGCGCCATCAATTTACGCAGCACTTTACATATATATATTGTACATTCACATCAGTTCCCGCCCCCGAGGGGCGTACAATCTGAGGTCCCTAACTCACATTCATACATACACATACTGGGGCCAATTTAGACAGGGGCCAATTCACCTACCAGCATGTCTTTGGAGTGTGGGAGGAAACCAGAGTACCCAGAGGAAACCCACACAGGCACAGGGAGAACATGCAAACTCCAGGCAGGTGGTGCCGTGGTTGGGATTCGAACCAACGACCCGAGTACTGCCAGGCGGAAGTGCTAACCATTTAGCCACTGTGCTGATCATTCCCCTCCCTCCCCCCATGCGTGGTCAAATCGCCCGCTTGGCGTATAGACATGCACGTTCGGTCACCAATCGTTTAATGAGCCAGATCCCCACGGTCACCTTTTTTTATATCCTGAAATGATTTGTTGCATTGTATCGAGTTTTTCTGCTGTTTTGAATTAGTTCTTGTAATGGTGTCTTTTGGTTGCTCTACCGACCCGCCAATCTCGGTTGGATTTGCCCGTCATTGGGTGATCATTCCCCTCCCTCCCCCATGTGTGGTCAAATCGCCCGCTTGGCGTATAGACATGCATGTTCGGTCGCCAATCATTTAATGAGCCAGATCCCCACGGTCACCTTTTTTTTTTTTATCCTGAAATGAATTGTTGCATTGTATCGAGTTTACTGCTGTTTTGAATTAGTTCTTGTAATGGTGACACCGCCATGTGGGTTGTAAAACGTCTCTGCAATGTTTAACCGCGGCGAGATGAATGGAGGACCTCGTTGGGTGTCTGGTATAGGAATGGATAGAAGGTGGAGTCCCCAGCCGTAGGTTGGGTGTGCCCGTCTCATGCTCTGTGCAGTCTCTCTTCGCTCTCTGTGCTGTCTCTTTTTTTTTCTCTGTCCAGTTTCTCTGACACCCTGGAGGTGGAGTCCTCTCCAAAGGCAGCTGAGGAGGGGGGGAGAGCAGCAACTCGGGGAGGAGGAAAAAACTTTTCTTGCTGCTCATTTTTAGGCTCTGCAGAGATTATTGTGGAGCGGAGCTGCCGCTTCTCCCTGTCACACGGCCATTCAGGGGGATCAGATCTGTTTTCGCGCGGCTCCAGGATTTTCTGGCTTTTTATTTATTGCTCAGGATCATTTTCCTTTTTTCTTTCTATTTGAAATTTTTGCTGCTGGAATTTTTTTTTTTTTTTTTAAGCTGCACTTTGCAATTGAGCCTCATTGAGCCAAGATGGTGGCCGGGATGCTGATGCCGCGGGATCGCCTGCGGGCGATCTACGAAATCCTTTTCAGAGATGGAGTCATGGTGGCGACCAATGACGAAAGGCCGCAGAGCCGCCATGCCGAGGTGCCCGGTGTCACCAACCTACAGGTGAGCAAAGCCATGGGCTCGCTGAAGTCACGGGGGTTCGTCCGGGAGACCTTTGTATGGAGGCATTGCTACTGGTACCTCACTAATGAAGGCATCGCTTACCTGCGCCAGTACCTTCATCTCCCTCCTGAGATTGTGCCGGCGTCTCTCCAGAGAGTGAGGCGTCCCGTGCCTCCCCAAGGTGCACCCAGGAGGACACCTTCTGCCAATGTCCAGTCTGTCCGAGGGCCTACATCCTACGTTCCAAAGCCCCAGGGCGACGTGGAGAGGCAGGAGTACCGGCGAAGAGAGCAGACTGTGATCCAGAGAGGACAGAACAGCACGCATGGCTCCGCCACTCCCCACGTGGTTGAGAACAGCTGGCAGGAAGGTGGGTGGCAGAGATGGGCGGACAGGGATGAGCAGAAGGGGGGAACAAGTTACCCTAGTCATGCTTTTAATGTCCTGAATGGAGGAGAGAAATGGGGGAGCAGTAGGGAAAGTCAAAAGTGGGATGAGGGTAGAAAGAGCTCTGTAGAGAGGACATCTTTGGAGATCACAGAGAGAAGGATAGCTGAGAAGAGACTGGCAGAGACACAAGGGCTTAGGAAGCCGGAGGTGACCAGCAAGCAGGCAGTGAGAGCACATGCTGACTTTCTGACAGCTCTGAGTCCTATCGCCTCCATTCATGAGAGACGGGACGAGAGAAGGGAGGAGACTCAAGCCAGAGAGTCTGAGATCATTATAAATAGCGTCACCTCAACCTCCCGGCTACAGTATGCAGGGAATAAACCATGGCCCAGACTGCTACAAACACAGGAGGAGGACAAAAACCTAGTCGTAGAAAAATCAAATGAGCACCATGTAGTCCCCTTAGTGACTAGAACACCCGTCAGTACTCCTAAAACACTAGAGACCACCAACCAGCAAGGGGAAAACATGGAGGTCAAAGAGACCTCAACAGTTCAAAAGATATTGGAACAGGAGCCCAGGCAAGGCAAGAGCCAATCCAAAAAGCAAAAAGAGAAGAAGCCAAGCAGGGCAGAGGTAGTGGAGGCTGTGCAGGCCTCAGGCATAATGGCCTCTCTTGTTGAGTCAGTAAAATTAGAAGCGAAGCAAGAGGATAAGCAGAAAAATGATTCTCAAATGATGGACCATCTAGATGTACAAGTCACTGAAGCTCAGGTAGCTTCAAACCCAGAGGCTGTAGAGTCACAGGGTGAAGGGAGTAAGCAAAAAAACAAAAAGAAAAGAGAGAGAGAGATTTCTGAAATTCCAAGTCTAGTGACTTCAACAGCCACACCTCTAATCACCAAGGCAAAATCCGACCTCCAGTTAGAGGTCAAAGGTCAGAAGGAACAGAAGCTTGCCCAGGAAAAAATATCAGAAAAACATAAAAAGCAAAGTTCTGAATCAAATCTTCGGCCCAAGAGTGAGGCCAAGAAGGAAGAGCCCAAGAGTGAGGCCAAGAAGGAAGAGCCCAAGAGTGAGGCCAAGAAGGAAGAGCCCAAGAGAGTGAGGCCAAGAAGGAAGAGCCCAAGAGTGAGGCCAAGAAGGAAGAGCCCAAGAGTGAGGCCAAGAAGGAAGAGCCCAAGAGTGAGGCCAAGAAGGAAGAGCCCAAGAGTGAGGCCAAGAAGGAAGAGCCCAAGAGTGAGGCCAAGAAGGAAGAGCCCAAGAGTGAGGCCAAGAAGGAAGAGCCCACGAGTGAGGCCAAGAAGGAAGAGCCCAAGAGTGAGGCGAAAAAGGAAGAGCCCAAGCCCAAGAGTGAGGCGAAAAAGGAAGAGCCTAAGAGTGAGGCTAAAAAGGAAGAGCCCAAGCCAAAGCGTGAGGCTAAGAAGGAGGAGCCAAAGCGTGAGGCTAAGAAGGAAGAGCCTAAGAGTGAGGCTATAAAGGAAGAGCCCAAGCCAAAGCGTGAGGCTAAGAAGGAGGAGCCCAAGAGTGAGGCTAAAAAGGAAGAGCCCAAGCCCAAGAGTGAGGCTAAAAAGGAAGAGCCCAAGCCCGAGGCTAAAAAGGAAGAGCCCAAGCCCAAAAGTGAGGCTAAAAAGGAAGAGCCCAAGCCCAAGAGTGAGGCTAAAAAGGAAGAGCCCAAGAGTGAGGCTATAAAGGAAGAGCCCAAGCCCAAGAGTGAGGCTAAGAAGGAAGAGCCCAAGCCCAAGAGTGAGGCTAAAAAGGAAGAGCCCAAGAGTGAGGCTAAAAAGGAAGAGCCCAAGCCCAAGTGAGGCTAAAAAGGAAGAGCCCAAGAGTGAGGCTAAAAAGGAAGAGCCCAAGAGTGAGGCTAAAAAGGAAGAGCCCAAGAGTGAGGCTAAAAAGGAAGAGCCCAAGAGTGAGGCTAAAAAGGAAGAGCCCAAGAGTGAGGCTAAAAAGGAAGAGCCCAAGAGTGAGGCTAAAAAGGAAGAGCCCAAGCCCAAGAGTGAGGCTAAGGAGGAGGAGCCCAAGAGTGAGGCTAAGAAGGAGGAGCCCAAGAGTGAGGCTAAAAAGGAAGAACCCAAGCCCAAGAGTGAGGCTAAAAAGGAAGAGCCCAAGAGTGAGGCTAAGAAGGAAGAGCCCAAGCCTAAGAGTGAGAAGGAAGAGCCCAAGAGTGAGGTTAAAGAGGAAGAGCCCAAGCCCACGAGCGAGGTTAGGAAGGAAGAGCCCAAGCCCACGAGCGAGGTTAGGAAGGAAGAGCCCAAGCCCACGAGCGAGGTTAGGAAGGAAGAGCCCAAGCCCACGAGCGAGGTTAGGAAGGAAGAGCCCAAGCCCACGAGCGAGGTTAGGAAGGAAGAGCCCAAGCCCACGAGCGAGGTTAGGAAGGAAGAGCCCAAGCCCACGAGCGAGGTTAGGAAGGAAGAGCCCAAGCCCACGAGCGAGGTTAGGAAGGAAGAGCCCAAGCCCACGAGCGAGGTTAGGAAGGAAGAGCCCAAGCCCACGAGCGAGGTTAGGAAGGAAGAGCCCAAGCCCACGAGCGAGGTTAGGAAGGAAGAGCCCAAGCCCACGAGCGAGGTTAGGAAGGAAGAGCCCAAGCCCACGAGCGAGGTTAGGAAGGAAGAGCCCAAGCCCACGAGCGAGGTTAGGAAGGAAGAGCCCAAGCCCACGAGCGAGGTTAGGAAGGAAGAGCCCCAAGCCCACGAGCGAGGTTAGGAAGGAAGAGCCCAAGCCCACGAGCGAGGTTAGGAAGGAAGAGCCCAAGCCCACGAGCGAGGTTAGGAAGGAAGAGCCCAAGCCCACGAGCGAGGTTAGGAAGGAAGAGCCCAAGCCCACGAGCGAGGTTAGGAAGGAAGAGCCCAAGCCCACGAGCGAGGTTAGGAAGGAAGAGCCCAAGCCCACGAGCGAGGTTAGGAAGGAAGAGCCCAAGCCCACGAGCGAGGTTAGGAAGGAAGAGCCCAAGCCCACGAGCGAGGTTAGGAAGGAAGAGCCCAAGCCCACGAGCGAGGTTAGGAAGGAAGAGCCCAAGCCCACGAGCGAGGTTAGGAAGGAAGAGCCCAAGCCCACGAGCGAGGTTAGGAAGGAAGAGCCCAAGCCCACGAGCGAGGTTAGGAAGGAAGAGCCCAAGCCCACGAGCGAGGTTAGGAAGGAAGAGCCCAAGCCCACGAGCGAGGTTAGGAAGGAAGAGCCCAAGCCCACGAGCGAGGTTAGGAAGGAAGAGCCCAAGCCCACGAGCGAGGTTAGGAAGGAAGAGCCCAAGCCCACGAGCGAGGTTAGGAAGGAAGAGCCCAAGCCCACGAGCGAGGTTAGGAAGGAAGAGCCCAAGCCCACGAGCGAGGTTAGGAAGGAAGAGCCCAAGCCCACGAGCGAGGTTAGGAAGGAAGAGCCCAAGCCCACGAGCGAGGTTAGGAAGGAAGAGCCCAAGCCCACGAGCGAGGTTAGGAAGGAAGAGCCCAAGCCCACGAGCGAGGTTAGGAAGGAAGAGCCCAAGCCCACGAGCGAGGTTAGGAAGGAAGAGCCCAAGCCCACGAGCGAGGTTAGGAAGGAAGAGCCCAAGCCCACGAGCGAGGTTAGGAAGGAAGAGCCCAAGCCCACGAGCGAGGTTAGGAAGGAAGAGCCCAAGCCCACGAGCGAGGTTAGGAAGGAAGAGCCCAAGCCCACGAGCGAGGTTAGGAAGGAAGAGCCCAAGCCCACGAGCGAGGTTAGGAAGGAAGAGCCCAAGCCCACGAGCGAGGTTAGGAAGGAAGAGCCCAAGCCCACGAGCGAGGTTAGGAAGGAAGAGACCAAGCCCACGAGCGAGGTTAGGAAGGAAGAGCCCAAGCCCACGAGCGAGGTTAGGAAGGAAGAGCCCAAGCCCACGAGCGAGGTTAGGAAGGAAGAGCCCAAGCCCACGAGCGAGGTTAGGAAGGAAGAGCCCAAGCCCACGAGCGAGGTTAGGAAGGAAGAGCCCAAGCCCACGAGCGAGGTTAGGAAGGAAGAGCCCAAGCCCACGAGCGAGGTTAGGAAGGAAGAGCCCAAGCCCACGAGCGAGGTTAGGAAGGAAGAGCCCAAGCCCACGAGCGAGGGAAGAAGAGCCCAAGCCCACGAGCGAGGAGGCTGAAGAGCCCAAGCCCACGAGCGAGGCTGAAGAGCCCAAGCCCACGAGCGAGGCTGAAGAGCCCAAGCCCACGAGCGAGGCTGAAGAGCCCAAGCCCACGAGCGAGGCTGAAGAGCCCAAGCCCACGAGCGAGGCTGAAGAGCCCCCAAGCCCACGAGCCCACGAGAGGCTGAAGAGCCCAAGCCCACGAGCGAGGCTGAAGAGCCCAAGCCCACGAGCGAGGCTGAAGAGCCCAAGCCCACGAGAGCTGAGAGCCCAAGCCCACGAAGGCTGAAGAGCCCAAGCCCACGAGCGAGGCTGAAGAGCCCAAGCCCACGAGCGAGGCTGAAGAGCCCAAGCCCACGAGCGAGGCTGAAGAGCCCAAGCCCACGAGCGAGGCTGAAGAGCCCAAGCCCACGAGCGAGGCTGAAAAGCCCAAGCCCACGAGCGAGGCTGAAGAGCCCAAGCCCACGAGCGAGGCTGAAGAGCCCAAGCCCACGAGCGAGGCTGAAGAGCCCAAGCCCACGAGCGAGGCTGAAAAGCCCAAGCCCACGAGCGAGGCTGAAAAGCCCAAGCCCACGAGCGAGGCTGAAAAGGTAGAGCCCAAGCTTAAGAGCGAGGCTAAGAAGGAAGAGCCCAAAAAAGAGCAGGGAGTAGAGGTGACCCAGGTCTCAACTGAGGTGAAGGTGACTAGCGAACCCTTAAAAACTAAACAGGAGAAAATAGAGAAAAATATAGAAAAGGTTTTATGGGAGGAAACCATTTTACAGGTGACACTTGGTCAGACAAGCTCAAGTGTAGTAACCAGCAAAACAGAACACAAACTAGAGATACAAGAGGGCAAAAAGAGCAAAACTCAGAAACCGAAAGATTGGGTAGTAGAGGTAGTTGAACAGTCCAGCGCAGAAGGGTCTCAGCAAGAAACCCTGCAGCCTAGTGTAGACCAGGCGGTTGCTCAGGAGAAGAGCAAAAAAGGGTCCAAGAGTAAGTATGACCAGGCAAAGAAGGATATAGAATCAGCAAAAATGGAAGGTCCGGAGGTCCTTGCCATCCAAACAGCAAAGAAAGAGGAGGAGGAGGCTATCCTGCAACTTTGCGTAGACCAGGAAATTGGACAGGAGAGCAAAAAGGGGTCCAAGGGTAAGGGTGACAAGGCCAAGAATGAGGCTGAAGAATCAGCAAAAATAGAAGGCCCAGAGGTCTCTGCCACCCAAGTTGCAAAGAAAGAGGAGGAGGAGGTGGCTACCCTGCAACCTAGCCTAGACCAGGAAATTGGACATAAGAGCAAAAAGGGATCCAAGAGTAAGGGCGATAAGGTTAAGAAGGAGGCTAAAGAATCGGCAGAAATAGAAGGTCCAAAGGTCTCTGCCACCCAAGTTGCAAAGAAAGAGGAGGAGGTGGTGGCTACCCTGCAACCTAGCCTAGACCAGGAAATTGGACATAAGAGCAAAAAGGGATCCAAGAGTAAGGGGGGCAAGGCTAGAAAGGAGGCTAAAGAATTGGCAGAAATAGATGGCTCCGAGATCTCTGCCACCCAACTTGCAAAGAAAGAGGAGGAGGCTACCCTCCAAGCTAGCATAGCCCAGGAGGAGAGCAAAAAGGGGTCCAAGAAAAGAGACAAGGGCAAAGAGGTGATTGTAGAATCAACAAAAATGGAAGGTCCACAGATTTCTGTCACCCAGTCAACAAAGGAGGAGGCTACCCAAGAAAAAGATCAGACCAATGCTGAACCAAAATTTGAAATCCATCCTAAGCAAATACGGACTATAATACTGGATGATTTCACTTTAGATCAAGGTGTTAGCTCTCCGATCACTGAGGTCAAGCTGGGGAAAAATCCAGCGGTTTCCCATCCTCTAGAACCTGATCAAGAGACAGAAGAAACAAAACTGGAAGAAACCAATGAAAAGTCTGCTTCTAAAACCAAGATTAGGGATGACCTGGAAGTGTCTTTAGCTACTCTTTCCCAGAACCCTCCAGTGGCTAAAGAAGAAAAAATGGTCACATTTTCAGAAACTAAGACTATCGCAGAACAAAGATCCATCGTGACAACAAAAGTCTTACATATTCAGAGTCATCTCCAAAGTGTGTCTGTTTCATCGACTTTACCTCACCCTAATGCACAGGATTTATATATAGAAGAAGTTACAGAGGAGACACTGGTAGATACAGGTGCGGGCATCTGTGTGCCGGAAACTGAGCCATTACCAGGGACCAAGGAACCTACATCTAAACCTGACTTGTCAGACCAGAGAGACAATGGAGAGGGACCACTGAATGTGCCAAAGGTGGACGTCCCTCAAAAGCCTTCAGAAACTGCTCTGCCTACTCCAAATCCTCCAGAATCCAAAACAGAGGTTCTTAAAGCTTTGACAAAAACTGAGACTAAAGAGCAGGTCCTTCAAGCTGTGTC